ACTTATTAAAATATTTAAAAAATTATTAAATATAATATATTTAATAATAATAATAAATTAACTATTAATAAATATATTACTATTATATTTAATTATACACATACAGAAGTTATTATTATTAAAATATTAATTATATTTCTTAAAATATTGCTATATGAGTATACAAGTTAGTAATAAATTGTTCCTTTTTTTTTTTTTTTTTTTTAATTACTTTCATGAAACACTTTCGAATAAATTTTCATATGACAAAACGAAGAAGAACAAAAAGAAGACAAAGGGGGTAGCAGAGTATAAAGATAATATTTTATTGAATTTTTTTTTTTTTATGAAGATGGTAATAGATAAGATTACGAAACGTTTTAAAGAGTTGTTTTAAAAGGAAAATAAAAAAAGGTGAGACAGAGATAATATAGTAACGCGAATATGAGAAACTCGAACATCCACACCCCCCTTTCCCCTATTCTCCACTTCTAATGAACTTCTCTTTCTTTTTCTATCTCTCTCTCTCTCTCTCTCTCTCTCTCTCTCTCTCTCTTTCTTTCTTTCTCTTTCTCTTTCTCTTTTTAAATGATGAAGATGATGATGATAATGATGATGATGATGCACGATGATGCACTCGATGAACAACGTGCTGCACTTCTACAGAGTCGTCGTAGAGACGCCGTTTGTACACTACTACTACTACTACTACTACTACTAATACTACTACATATATCGGTCGTTATAGTTTAATTATAGCACACGCGATGGATGCGAAAGTGGAAGGTGGAGGAAGGGTTCAGGGTCGACCAAACGTACAAGAAGAAAAACACGAAGAAGAAGAAGAAGAAGAAGGAAGCATCTTCCTTTTCTCTCGTTAAAGTCAACTTTTACGTTTCTTTCTCTTAAAACGTCGTAAAAATGGCCGACTCGCGTGACTCATACCCCACCACACCTCTTTTTCACGAGTGCCACGCACAAGTTACTTTTAAATAATATTATTATTATTATCAATAGAAAAATTAGCCTTTAAATATTTCTTTTGACAAAAAAAAAATAGTTCGGTTTTATTGATTGATCATTTTATCATTTGATTTGATAAAGTTAATAAAAAAAAAATAGTATTTTTTATTGTTAAGTGGTAATTCTTAAGTTGGAGTATTAAATAATGTGAGAATGAAAGATTGAGGGAGAAAAAGAGAAAGGGAATGAAATTATTATGTAGATACCCATAAATAAAACATTGGTAAAAGTTACTATTACAAATATATTATTTTTATTAGTAATTATTATTATATATTTTTATACTATACTATAATATAATATTATAATATATTTAAAATATAATATAATATATTATATATATAATAAAATATTATTAATTAAATTATAAATTAATTTAAATTATATTAATATCAATTAAAATATTATTTATTATAATATATATATTAATATATATTTATTACTAATTATTAGTTTAGATAAAAATATTAAAAAACCAAATTACCAATTAAAAAATCCAATATAACAATAAATATGGTAATTTAAATTATATTAATATCAATTAAAATATTATTTATTATAATATATATATAATAAAATATTTATACTATAATATAATATATTATAATATATATTTATTACTAATTATTAGTTTAGATAAAAATAGTAAAAAACCAAATTACCAATTAAAAAATCCAATATAAAAATAAATATGTTAATTTAAATTATATTAATATAAATTAAAATATTATTTATTATAATATATATATAAACTATTAGTTCAGATAAAAATATTCAAAAACCAAATTACCAATTAAAAAATCCAATATAAAAATAAATATGTTAATTAAAAACTGTTATAATAAAAAATACTATTTTAATCAAACAACAAAAAATACAAAAAACAATATTTAAATATTCATTCGAATGTAAATTAATATTAAAACGATAAACATACCAAGTATTCGAATAATAAAAAATTTCTTAATCTGACGTATATAAAATCAATGAACGTTATTAAAAAAAAAAAAAATAAATAAATAAAAAAAAGGAAGAAGAAGAATAAATTCATGTGGATACAGGGTAATAAAATAAATTCGTATGAAAAAAAAAAAAGAAAAAAAAAAAAGAGAAAAAACCTTGATAGTATTTAGAATCGATTTAAGAACTAACCTAAGTTAAAAGTGGAACTTATGTTAGTGGCACTCGAGAGAGTAATAGAAGAAAACTTATGCGTTCGTGCATACGTGCGTGCATACGTGCGTGCATACGTGCGTGCATGCGACGACTCATCGCGGTTTGTTAAAAGAAAAAGAAAAAGAACAAAAAATAGAAAAATGAGTAAAAGAGAAATGAAGAAGAAGAAGAAGAAGAGAAATAAGAAGAAGAAGAAGAAGAAGGAGGAGGAGGAGGAGGAGGGGTTCAGGTAGAAGTGCAGGTGCGCAGGATGGAAGAAGAAAAGGAAGATGATGATGATGATGATGATGATGATGATGATGATGATGATGATGATAATGATGATGATGAAGAAGAAGAAGAAGAAGAAGAAGAAGATGAAGAGAGAGAGAGGGAGGGAGGAAGGGAGGGAGGGTGTTAGTCGTTTTACCTGCAACACTCCTGCAACCATAAAATCATCGACTCTTCGAGAAAATACATGTGCAAAATGCACTTATGACAATTTTTTTCAATTTTCCATTTGAACTTATTCCCTTTCAACTTATCATACTAAACGATTTTTCAATCGACAATAAAATCCTATTTAATTATTATTATTATTGTTATTTGTTATTTGTAATATTAGAAATCACAAATTAGGAAAGAATTTATTTTATTTTTTTATTTTTTATCACAAGACCCATTCATTTTTATTATCAATTATTATTTATTCAATCAGATTAGGAATATTAAAAACATTTCTTTTTTTTATCAATTATTATTATATATTAATATTTATTTTATCAATTATTATGAATAATTAATCAGATTAGGAATATTAAAAACAT